CGTGTGTGTGTGTGTGTGTGTGTGTGTGTGTGTGTGTGTGTGTGTGTGTGTGTGTGTGTGTGTGTGTGTGTGTGCAGTTTTGAGCTGCGACACCACCACTGTGATACAACGCACCAAGGGGGCGGGCCAGACACATGTCGATGAGGGGCTTGTTGTCGACAAAGGTGATGTGTGCGGCGTTGCTGTCCACGCCTGAACAGACAAAGGGAAAAACATGCGCGTATGTGAGCGATGAGGTCAACAGAAGGAAGGAAGCAGGCAACGCATGGAGCGTGATACCACGCACGCATACTTCAGCACACACACACACACACACGCACACGTACACACCAAACACACACCCACACACACCCACACCCACTCACACCCAAACCCACACCCACACAGTACACAACACCTAACAACACGCCATACACACGCCACAACCCCTCGTTCCCTTGTCCCTCCGCCGCAGTCGACCGTTCGCACCTTCGAGCTCGTATTCCTGGAGCTCAAGGCGGAAGGTGTGCTGGTTGAAGAAGAACTGCAGCTGCTCGTGGGCGACGTTGATGCACAGCTGCTCAAAGCTGTTGTGCTTGAAGTTCTCAAAGCCAAAGATGTCCAGCACGCCAATCTCAAACGACGGCGCCTTCTGCGTCGCCTTCACGCCGGGCCGCGCAGCCTTCACATTCTGCAGGCTGATACAAGGGGGAGGGAAAAGGGGGTGATGTGAGGTTGAGGTAACGTGGCGATAGAGAGGGGGCGCAGAGGCGGTGACTGCACGAGGAGGACGTTGAAAGAGTCGTGATGACAGCAGAGCAGACAAAGCCACGCACAGTGCGCTTCACATCGCCCAAACACAGCACAGCACAGCACAGCACAACACAGCACAACACAACACAACACAACAAAAACACACACCTTGGGGCGAGCTTCTCGTTGATGCGGGCGACGATCCAGGAGAAGAGGCGCGCGTAGAGCGACTTGGCCACGGCGTCGCGGCAGTCGTACGACTGCTCCTTCGTGTACGGCCGCTGCGGGGCGAGCAAGAAATGGGGAGGAAGAGGGGACACAGCGGGGAAGAAATGGTGAGGTGTGCGAGATGTGTGGTGGGACACATGGATGCGTTCATGCTGGACGGCATCTTCTCGCACACACACACACACACACACACACACACACACACACACACACACACACACACACACACACACACACACACGCATGTGGAAACAAGCACACCACGACCTGGTTTGTTCCCTGGCTCTCCTTCCCCTATCCCCCTTTCATTTCCTTTCCTCCCATCCCCTCCACCGCTCTTCCTCTACCAACAACCACACCCCCCGCCCCCTCTCTCTCTCTCTCGCCCTCCGCCACCGACCTTGATCTGCTCGCCGCGGGTGACGGAGAGGATGTGCAGGAGCGAGTCGCGGAATGCGCTTGCATCGAGACCCAACAGCTCGGCAGCCTTTGCCAGCCCGCCCTCGCTGCTCTCCCGCAGCTGTACAAGAGAGAGAGAGAGAGAGAGAGAGAGAGAGAGAGTGTGTGTGTGTGTGTGTGTGTGTGTGTGTGTGTGTGTGTGTGTGTGTGTGTGTGTGTGTGTGTGTGTGTGTGTGTGTGTGTGTGTGTGTGTGTGTGTGTGTGTGTGTGTGTGTGTGAACGTGAACGGGGGTTGAGTGTACGTCATGATTTGCCTCATCCAATCACAGTCCCAGCACCCCAGCACGTCACCCCCTTCCCCAATCTCCTTCACACCACCTCCCCTCTTCGTCAGCGCACCGTGCACGAGTCCTCGTCGACGGCGTCAAACTGGATGTTGGACAGGTGCAGAATCGCGGCCAGCGTCTTGTGGATCACGTGTTGCTCCTGACGCCATGAACCAAAACAACGTCATATGGACGAGGGAACCACGTGAGATGAGAGTGAATCGTGGGCACTGGAAAAGAGTGGGCAACACGAAAGGGGTTGTCACAACCAAAGGCACTGCAACGCACACACAGCGCACTGCACACACACAGACACAACCACGCACACGCACAGACAAGCACACACACACGCACAGACAAGCACACAGACACATACACAGCAGCAGCAGCAACACAGCAACGTAACACACCTCTTCTGAGAAGCCGACGTCGTTCATGGCGGTGATGAGCTCCGTGTACATGTCCTCGTTGTCCGGCCACAGCGTACCGCACAGCGAGCTGGGGGTGGTGAAAGATGAGAAGAGGGTCGAGTGACACGTCAGTTTCCGGTGCTGCAAAACACGTTCACCATGAGCACACACACACACACACACACACACACACACACACACACACACACACACACACACACACACACACACACACACACACACACACACACACACACACACACACACACACACACACACACACACACACACACACACACACACACAAACACACACCAACTGACCTCTTGGGTGTAGAGGGGCAGCTCCTTGAAAGGGTTCACTGCAATCAGGATGTCGCCCACATACGTCTGTCGCACACACAACAGCCAGTCAGATTGCACACAAAGGATGAATAACGCTGTCACGATCCCATCCCAACTCCCACATGCAACATGTCACACTGCCCATGCTACATGCCACATGTCACACTCACGTAGATCTTGTCTTCGGCGTAGCGAGCGCGGATTTCCTCGAGCAACGTCTGCTCGTTGAGCGACGTGAGCTTGCCCAGGTCATCCAGGGACCCCATGGGCCGCTCTTCGGCGTGGTAGTACCCGTCCTCTTCAGCCATGGTCACCGTCAACTGTTGTGTTGTGTTGTGTTGTGTGTGGTTGAAAACAAGCGTGCACGATGCAAATGGGTGTGGTGTGTGTGCGTTGATTGAGACTGTGCACAATCAGCACCACGCTGCCGCCAGCTGGAAAATTCAACCACATCTCATGCTGTCGTGTACGGCCCGCGCTTGTGTCGTGCTTGTTGCCTTGCTTTGCTTGTCGTCTTTGTTCTTCCGTGGTTTGCTTGCCCACCTCCATCCACCATCCATCCATCATCCATCCATCCACCATGTTAAGAAGGTTTAGAAACCAGGCGCACACACGTGTGCACACACAACGCACACTCCACACAACGCACTCTATCCCATTACGTCAACACAACTTGTTGAAAAGAAACGAAGACAGAAAGAAACCAGCGTGGCGTGCATTTCCAAATCACAAGCGCACATACAACCGCACACGCAAGTGCATCATGTCACGCCGACCATCCTCAAGGCTGGTAGGCAGGTGGCGCCTGCTGCTGCTTCTGCATCTGCTGTGGCGGGTACCCTTGCTGAGGCGGGTAACCCTGCTGTGGTGGATAGCCTTGCTGTGGAGGATAACCCTGCTGTGGTGGATAGCCCTGCTGTGGCGGGTACCCTTGTGGCTGCTGCTGGGGCGGGTAGCCCTGCGGTGGGTAGCCCTGCTGCTGATGCTGCTGCTGTGGTGGGTAGCCCTGTGGAGGCATAGATGAGCCGTGCTGGGAAGGGGTGTAGGACATTTGCGTGGCGGCCGTCTGCGCGGGGTTGACATTGGTCGTGGTGGTCGTCGTCACCGTGTGCCGGTCATTGCGGGACGCAGCAAAGCACGCAACGCCGGCCCAGAAGCAGTAGCACACGGGAATGCCTGCACACGTGATGGTGAAAGGAGCGAAGAAGAGGAAAGTGGGACAGAAAGAAACCACAGGCGTAAGACTTGGGCACGATACCTCACATCCACATGTGTCACGTGCATGTGCACGCGCGTCTGCAACCAGCCCTCCTTCCTTCCTTCCTTCAACTTGTGTCGCCTCCTTCTAGCACCCTTACATACTCGCCTCCCCCCTCCATCTCTGTCTTCCCTCCCCCGCCCCCGCCAAACACCCACCAACGAAGCAGACGAGGACGGACACAACAACGGCCACGACGATGGTCGTGATGCTGCGGATCAAGTCGCCATCACAGCACGCCTGTGGAAAGAAAACCGGAGCCGAACAAGCACAAGTACGCAATGACCCAACAAATGAGATGCGAGTGGGCAACTGTTCAATGCACGTGCTGTGCACTTGAAGTGCAGTCCATTTCATTCGTTCACGCTTTCTATCTCTCACACCCTCCCCTCTCATTCCCGTCATATCTGCGACATACATTGTCGCAGTCAAAGATGTTGTCGTCATCATCGCCGTAGGTGATTTGGCAGCATGTGTCCAGGTTGGACGTGTCACCAGGGCCGGGGCTACCAAACAAAGGACACGCAAAACGGCCACGTGAGCGCATTTGGCGTGCATTCGCGAGTGCGTGTGTGCTTGTGTGTGTGCGCGTGTGTTTGTTGTCTGTGTTGTGCATGCGTGTGTTTTGTTCTTGAGCAAGGAAGCAAACAGCAGCTGATGAAGCAAACATGACACGTGGTTGCATTCTGCGCCCATCACACCCTTCTTCGTCCTGCATCTCCTCCCCCTCCCCTCATCAAAGGAAACTCACCAGGTGTAGATCTGAGAAGCGCACGCAGGTTTGTTTGTGTTGCACGTCTCCGCTGCCGATGCCACGCCTGTCATTTCATGCACATCAGAACGGACAATCAGCATGCCCAAGAGACAAGGGGCGTGGGACGACCCACCAAACAACAAGCGAAACACACACACACACACACACACACACACACACACACACACACACACGTATGCACACACACGTATGCACACACACACACACACACGTATGCACACACACACACGTATGCACACACACACACACACGTATGCACACACACACACACGTATGCACACACACACGTGCACACACACACACACACGCATACACACATATCACACAGCACACTCATCCGGACCTGTGAGCGCAACAAGGGCCAGGGCGGCCAGCAGAACACAAGTCCTCGTCGACAGCGCCATCGTTGGTTGGTGAGTTGTTGTCGCGGAAATGTTTAGGAAGAGAAAATTCATGCACATCTTGCATAAAAGCCGATTCCCAAACCCCATTCACCTTTGCCCCTCCCCCTTTCACCCCCACATTTCTCTTCTCGCAACAGCTGTGCTGCTGTGTTCCACCTCAGCCTCAGCATCTCCACCCCTCGTCATGCTGCTGGTGGTCTTTCTGGCGTCTCTGCTGGTGCTGACGCCAACGACGTCAACGGTCGTTCATGGCGCTGCTGCTGGCGACAACAAGTGCGATGCAATCCGAGGTGCGTCTGAGCGTCTGAGCGCAGTGCAGCAGTGGTGTGATCTCCTGTGCTCTGCTGTTTGTTTTATTTGATCGATTGCCTTCTTCCTCTTCGCGTGCTTGTGTTGTTTGCGTTGTTTGCGATGTTTGCGTTGTTTGTGTTGTTTGGTTTGTTTCGCATACCCGTGCGTGAAACCCGCGCGCAGGCCTCAAGTATCAAACCAAGCAACTCCTCAATTCACTTGCTCTCCTCTCCCTCGTTCCTACTGTTGCCAACAGTGGTAAGCACCACCATCTCCTCCGCCCGTTCTGCCGCCGCGCCCGGCGAGGCTGCTCGCTGGGAAGCCAATGACATCTGGACCGCCGGTCGCGCCCCTTGCGCCTGCGAGGAAGCCATGATCAAGCGCCCCGTCGACATCAGTGGTGCCATCCAGGTGAGCTTAAAGGGAAATGAAGCGCACATGCACTTCACAACCACGCTGTCACGAGCGCAGTTGAAAGCACGCCCACAATCGAATGTGCACATAGAAACCATCACTTCGTCTCGCACACCCACCCTCATTCTCACCCCCAACTCAACCCAAACACAGGCTCGCATGACGCAGCTGACGCTGACGCCGCATCAGCCCTTGATGCTGAAGGACGGTGGAGAGTTTGTGATCACCAACGAGGCGCGTACCGAACCCTGTCCCGTGATTGAGGAGTTTGATGTCAGCAGTCTCACCACTACCGTCTTCGAGGCCACGTGGCAAGCCAGCAGCGATGCTGGCGTGCTGTACGCAGGCGTCAGCGGAGATGACGAGGAGGCACACAACGTCACGGGCGCAACGTGGACTGGTATTGTCCCACTCAACAACAACAACGACGACACTGAAGCTGCATCCTTCACGTTGGAAGTCGCCAGTGGCGCTGCCACCGAGCGAGTCGTTGCCCGCAAGTCTGTCACCGTCCAACGTGCCACAACAGGTGTGAATGCGTGTGCGTGTTCCTGTGTGTGTGTGTGTCTGTGTGTGTGTGTCTGTGTGTGCGTGTGTGTGTGTGTGTGTGTGTGTGTGTGTGTGTGTAGAAATGCGTTTGCACGTGCGTTTGCGCGTGCGTTCGCACATGCATGTACATTTGCGTTCAAGTGGAACCACTTTGCGCCTCGTGTCATGCACCGCATCACAACCTCCCCCCCCACAACACACACACACACATCGCGCCTCCTTTCGTTTCCCTCAGCCTCACCCTATCATTCCGCTTTGCACTCACGCCACACAAACAGTCACGTGGGCGTCTCCAATGTCTGGTGAATGGTCGACCGGGTCCAACTGGATTGGCGGCAGCTCGCCGTGCAGCGACCAGCGTGCTCGTGCGTCAGTGAAGAATTCAGAGGATGCCTACGACATCACCGTCACGCAGGACACGACAGTGCGCAGCTTCAACTTGGCCCGCCATGCTGGCCTCGTCCTTGCCACGGGTGCCACATTCACGCTTTCCTCCAACGTGAAGTTCGAAGATGTTATGGAGTGCGCCCAACGTGGCCTCGACACAACACAAACATCGACGACAACACCGACTACCACATCCATGGCTACAACCAGCGATGCCACGACAGCTGGGCCTGCAACCACGACCCAAAGTGCTGGCGGTAACATCACCACGACCGTGCACACTGCCACGACAGCTGCTACCACGACATACACCACCATGAAAGACACAACCACTGCAGGCATGACCACGACAAAACTTATCACAACTGCATCCACAGCTACCACCACACCAACCAGAGTCGCCGCGACAGACACCTCATCGACGAGCGAGCCCGTCACCATCGCTGCACAGGAGAGCGCAGCGTCCATGGGACCCGTCGCAGGTGCTGCTGGTGGCGGCGTGGTCGTTGTCATTGCCATTGTTGTCATCTTCGCTGTGGTGCGCCGCAATCGCCAGCGCCTTGTTGTCGGCGACTACTCGCAACTGGACACAGCTTCGCTCAGCATGAAAGACGCTTCATTCTCGTCATTCTTTGGACCCGTCAAGCTCACACACCACGACGTCAGTACCTACACACGCGTGGGACCTTGTGTGTTTGCGTGTGCGTGTGTGTGTTTGTGTTTGCGTGTACGTGTGTTTCTCACTGTGTTCTCCTTCCCATCACCACACTCCACCTTTGTCGCTGCTCTATCTGCTCGTTGGATTGCAGGGCAACCAGTTGTGGTGCTTCACCTTGAGGGAGAACGCCCCGACATTGCTCACTACGTGCATGAACAAGGTGAGCAATCCTGTTTCTGTTGCATGCATGTATGGAAGACCGTGAATTGGGCCTTTGGCATGGAGCTCTCACCTCCCTCCCCTTTCTAGCCTTCTTTTTTCACCGCTGGCATCCAAAACCCTGTACACCTCATTACCACCTGTTTGTGCAGAACATTCGCCTGCTGCGATCCCTGCAACGCGAGCTGTTGCCGGAGAACATGCTCGGGTAATTGTTCAGACGTGCGGCTGTTCGTGAGAATATGGAAATGTGCGTGTGTGCGGAAGAATGCCACGAGTGTAGGCATGTCGGAGATTGTGAGCTTCTTATCCTGCAGTCCCACACTCACACGCACACTGACACTGACACTGACACTGACACTGACACTCATACTCACACTGACACTCATACTCACACTCACACTCACACTCACACTCACACTCACACTCACACTCACACTCACACTCACACGCGCTAACTCACTCACCCACACACCACTGCCTATTCAGTGCGATGCACGTTGACGAGCGTGCTGCCCGCATTGTCGTGCATGCTCCCACGGTCTCTCTCGACCTCCGGCTTCGTGCATCCCGCGCTCGTGACAACACCAGGCCAGAGGTGCGCAAGCATGTGTGATTCTCCTGCCTGAATAAGAATGGATATGTCTGTATTTGCTGTTTCCCCTTTCGCTTGCAGCTCTGTTCGGGACCGTGAACATCCAACGGTCATCGCCAACACCAACGCCATCACCAACGCCATCACCATCACCATCTCTCTCACCATCACCACCCTCCCTCTCACCGCCACTATTACCACCACCACACTTCTTCGCCCCGCCCTCCCTCCGTTCGCAGGGCATGTCGCACTTTGAGCGGGTGCAGATTGCCAAGCAGACGGCCGCCGCCCTCGTCTGGATGCACTCCCGCCAGCTTGTCCACTCGTGTCCGCGCTCCGCCTCCATCCACCTCATTGGCGCAGATCCAAACTGGAAGGTGGGAAACGTGTATGTGGGAGTGTGCGGGGGGGGGGGTTGCATGTGTGCGTGCTCGTTTCCTTGTGTATGTGTGCGTGAATGTGTCTGCGTTTGTGTACAAGATGTACAAGCACCATCCCAGACCACGAACGCAATCACAATTACAATCACCATTTCCTCTCATCATACACCATCTCTTGCTCACCATCTCCCTCACCACCACTCACGACATCTCGCCATCATCAACACAACAGCTGACGTGTGTGGAGAACGATGGTGCCGGCATCGCTGACGCCCACCCTGATGGCGATTATCTCCTGCGCTGGTGCGCGCCGGAACTTGTTGCCGATCACATGCTCACGCCCACGCCTGCAGCGGACGTTTGGTCCTACGGCATCCTCTTTTGGGAAATCATCTCCCTCGGCGCAACCCCATACATGGATGGTGCGTGCGTACGCTTGCTGCCTTTGTTTGTGCGTGCGTGCTTGCGCTTGCTGCTTTGGTAGTGCCGCCGCTTTCTCCACTGCATCCTTACAACTTTTCAACAACAACAACACCACCACCACCTCCTCCACCTCCTCCTCCTCCTCCTCGCCTTTCTCCTCCTTATCCCCCCCCCCCACCGCAGAAGACGTCAAGGCTGCAGTGTGCGGAGGAAAGGTGCCAGCCCCTGTTCCCACGGTCCCAAGTGCGCTGTACGGGATTGTGGATCGCTGCTGCATTCTCGACGCCAACAACCGCCCGACGATGAAGGAGGTGGAGGCCTTGGTGAAGGACGCCTGCGATGCCGCCAGCACAAGCCACACGACCGTTGATGTGCGGGGCTACCTGCCCTACGTGCCCTCCCAGCGTCAGCCCATGACAATCAACTCCGTGTACACCGAAGCTGGCACGGGCAGCGCCGGTGCAGGCAACACCACCGCGGCTACGTACTCGTATGCTGGCCTGGATGAGACAAAGATTGGCGTTCCATCCGGTGATCATACATGGGATGCCGCCGCATATGGCGTTGTTGGCGGCGCTGTGGTCAACAAGTTCAATCCCCTGTATGATGGGGATTATGACACCGGCGCTGTGGACACCCGTCACGAAAAGCACTCTGAGGACGCCCCATATGCGCTCGCTGCCCATGCAGGCGATGCGAACGGGGAGGAAGCGCATGCCCAGATGACTAGCGAGGACTATGCCATGGCAATGGCCCGAAAGCAGCCCGTTTACGACAACCGGCGTGGCGGGAGCATGCGTGTTGCCGATGCCCGCTACGCGCTCGCGTCCCATGCAGGAGCCCTGAACGACGACACGTATGCCCAGACAGCCGGCGGGCACCGGTTCGCTGAAGCCTTTGGCGTGAACGACATGTACGCCACGGCCACAACGGACGATGGCCAGCCCGTCTATGCCATCGGCATCGCCCATCGTGCTGCCGCCTTTGCGCCGCGCAACAGCAACAACACTGGCATGGGCGAGAAGGAGGAAGAAGAGGAAGAAGACTATGCCGATGTCCGCCTCTTCCGCGCCAGCAAGGACGACGACGGGCAAGAGGAGGAAGAGGAGGAAGAACAAGAGGAGCACGTGCATCAGGAAGAACAGGAAGAGGAGGAAGAGGAGGAGGAGCAGATTGCCGGCTTTGGCAATGCTCAGGCTTGATGGAGTCTATGGAGTGTTAGGGTGTTCCCTCACTCACATCGCCATCGGCAACGTTTGCGCTTCTCACATGGCTGTGGATGACGTTTGCCATCGCTTCACACTCAACACAACTCGACACGCATGCCTTCCTTCGCGAACTTGAGCTTTTGAGCTGTGCCCTTGTGCCCACTTCAAGCTCGCCGCACCTCACCCACGTCTGCAAAGGTTTCTTGTCCACTTCCCGCCACTCTACTCACCTTCACCTCATGTCAACACAGCTTTCGCAGTTCATCGCCACGATGCACGAACGCAACGCATTTTGTTGCTTCAGCACCGAACACGGTGGCGTTACGGAAATGTCGCCGAAGATGTTCAATAAAATTCATCAATCATGACCTGAAATGGACGCAAGACGACGATGATGCAAACAGCGATTGCTTCTTCAGCCAGTGGTTGGCTCATCTCTGTGTGTGTGTGGTGTGCCTGTGTGTTGCCTTGGCGAGCAAGCCAGCGATCATCACCACACCTCACTCACTTCACTTTTGTTACTTTGACACGACTTGGTGGTGAGCACATCTATCTGTCACAAGTACCACACACACTCCACTCGCCATTCTCCATTTTCCTTGCACATCCATCAAAAGATCAAACACGACGACGACGACGACGATGTTCCCTTGTGCTGCTTCTAGTGTGATGCTGGCGGCCGTTGTTGCGGTGATCGCAACAGGGCCGTCCATCACCTCGGCCAACCACGCTGTACGTCACAGTTCATGTCGTGTGTGTGTGTGTGTGTGTGTGCGTGCGTGCGTGCGTGTGTGCGTGCGTGTGTGCGTGCGTGTGTGTGTGTGTGTGTGTGTGTGTGTGTGTGTGTGTGTGTGTGTGTGTGTGTGTGTGTGTGTGTGTGTGTGTGTGTGTGTGTGTGTGTGTGTGTGTGTGTGTGTGTGTGTGTGTGTGTGTGTGGCACGCATGTGCTTGTGTTCGATGCAAGTCGAGCGTTTCCATGACAGACTGACAACCCTCCAAAACACCATCATGGCTTGCACGGCTCACCGATTTTCCATGCTGTCTGCATCGTGTCAGGCTGACGCACCGGCAGATCTCATCCTTGGCGACGCCGTGTCAACGAAATACTTCCTGCAAGAGGTGCCCCCCCCCCCTTTCACGCATGCGCATACACTCATGCACAGCCTCTCTGTCTCTCGTCGCTTCCTGCCTCTTCCCTCCCTGCCTCCACCTTCTCCTGATGTCTTTGTGTTTATGCTTACGCCAACCAACCCACGCATGCAAATCGCAGACTGGTGGACGATGTGTGCTGTCGGTCCCCTCTGCGAGCGGGTACTACTTTGAAGTCATCCAGGAGAACGGCTTTGGCTTGAGCCCCTGCCCGAATGGTACGCGCATGTGTATGTATGTGTGTGTGTGTGTGTTAGTTGAGCGAAAGGGGCTGTACCATTTGTTTCCTCTGCACCTGCGCTTCTACAAACTGCACTGCTCACTTCAATTACCACTCTCTCCTTCTCCTGCTGTCGTTTCGCCTTGTACAATGCCTGCAGCTGGCCAGTGCAAGTGCAACGTCTTCAAGCCCTGCTACGGAGATGGTAAGTATCAGCGAGCACCTGGTACTCTCGCCTTTGTCCAACCACCCTTTCTTACCACAGCACACCCCCCCCCCACACACACGCACACACCCCCACACATGCATACAACCTTCCTCACCCAACCACTGACCTTCCCCTCCCCCCTTCTTTTGGTGCTTTCCCAAACCACCAGACTGTCTGCGTGCGCGCCCCTGCACGACGGAGAGCGGCCTGCCCCACGAGCAATGCCGCAAGCTGACCCCGTGCCAGTCGTACCGCGAGGACTTTGCCACCAACATGCTGGTAACGTGCACTGCCTGCCCACCATTCGCACGCATCGCGATCTGGAGTCTTCCAATTTTGTGCCTCTTGGTCACCACCACAATCACCTCACCACCATGACCTCATACATTTCCACCACCATGACCTCACACATTTCCACCACCCAAACACGAACCTCCCCACCCCCCCCCCTCACTCCCAATGACCCAGATGACCATGCCGTGCGTCACTGCCCCGCTGACGGCCCGCACCCCAGCAGAGCTGGCGGCCCTCGGTGCACTCATGAAGACCTCCCTCCTCGCCACATGTGGCATCGACAGAGTACGTGGATTTGTGGCCGTCAAAGGTGTACATCGAGTCACGCGACCCTGAGATGTCTTGCCCATGCAAGAACACACAATCACAATCACACACACAATCACACACAATCACATACACACACGCACACAAGCAATCACACACACAATCACACACATAATCACACACACACACACAACCACACACAATCACACAATCACGCACACACGCTCTCACCACGGCCACTGCTACCACTGCCACCGCTATTACCACAGTTGCTGTGCCGGTACGCGGGCGTGCTGCCTGGCGAATTGCAAGTGGTGGATGAGTCCACTGCGCTCATTGCCGTTCTCAGCGACCTTGATGTTGATCGTGTTGCGCAATGCATTGCGGACAACGGGCCCATCCCTGTCCAGGACTGCCAGATCACGCGCGTGCACGCGGAGGGCGCCTCCACAACGCTGTCCTCCACGTCATCCACCACAACTTCGACGTCAACATCAAGCACCACCTCCACCTCCTCCACCTCCTCCTTCTCAACGACTTCCACATCCACGTCGACCACCTCCACATCCACGTCCACCACCACGTCTACCTCAACCACCACATCCACATCGACGTCGTCCACAACTAGCTCGTCCACCACCTCCACGTCCACTTCCACCACCACATCTTCATCAACCACATCGTCAACATCAACAACTTCCTCCTCCTTCTCCGCCACCACCACAACCTCCACCTCCACCTCCTCCACCTCCACCTCCTCATCATCGTCATCGGTGTTCCCCTCCACCTACAGCGCCCCCGACTGCGAGATTTCACCGCTCGTGCTCGACTGCGCGGATCTTGCGTCACGCGACGCCGTCACGACGGCTGGCGCGTGCGGCGTTGAGAGCGTCGTCAGCTGCTGCTGTTCGGAGTTTCTCAACCTCGTTCGCGTTGGCGAGTCCGTGACAGCCGCCGCAGGCATCACCTCGCTGGCGTTTGGCTCCGTCGCGTGGATTGGAGGCAGCGTGTACGCACGTGGACAGTTCTTCCAGCCGGGCCGCATTTCCACGGTGGACTTTGGCGCGCTGACATATGTGAACGGCGTGATTGACCTGTACTACAACGACATCACCTCCATCAACACAGGCAACCTGATGCACATTGGCGGACTCAACCTCGGCAACAACGAGCTGTACACCGTCGCCTTTCCCAACCTGCACACCATCACGGGGATGCTCAACTTGGCCTACACGCGCGTGGGCGTGGTGGACCTCGGCCCCATCCAGCGCATCGACGGGTACTTTGATGTTGGCGACTCCTGGATCACGTCCCTCGACTTTGGACAGACCACCCACATTGGCGGAGACGTGTTTGTCGGCTTCACGGGTCTTGAGACGGTCAACCTTGGTCCCCTGCGCACCGTCGGTGGCTCGCTCATCCTGGAGTACAACTCGCTCACCACCGTCGACTTTGGCGACCTCACGTCCGTGGAGGGCACGTTGTATCTTGGCGGCAACCAGCTGACAGCCATCGACCTGACGACGCTGACGTACATTGGCGGTGACATCCACGTGGACAGCAACACGATGC